AATTATATAATAATAATAATATGCCATTTAGCAGACGCTTTTATCCAAAGCGACTTACAGTCATGCGTGCATACATTTATTTATTTTTTTTGTGTATGGGTGGTCCCGGGGATCGAACCCACTACCTTGGCGTTATAAGCGCCGTGCTCTACCAGCTGAGCTACAGAGGACCACGGCAACAGTAGTTATCAGTGTTCTAATCTAGACATCTGATCTGCCACTAAATGTCCAATCAGGCTAAAGTCGTGCTTCAAATGTCCCCGCCCGTTTTGGGGCGATTTCAGTCAGGTTGAAAATCGCCCAGAAGTCTCTCATAGCCTCTAATGTAAAATCAATTTTTTTCAAATATCAGAGCTTTCAATACAATCTCTATGGGTTTCTGAGGGCTTGCACTTACGCGCTTTCGTCATACGTAACTTAACCATGAACGTAACTAAGAAAAGAGCGGGTAGCCTCATCAATCAATTCACTACTACTGTCAAAATGGCTAGCCTTCAGTGCAACTCGATTGTCTCTTTGAAAGAAGTTCCTTTTTGTCGGCGAACAAATCAAGATAAATTGGCAACGAAACAATTAGGACCTCCCAGACCAAATTTAATAATTCAACAGGTTTCTACTAAGCAGAGTCGTGAACACTGTCTACGAGAATCGAGACGACCTCATAGAATGTTTTGAAGCCATTCGGACGGGTTCATTGGGTTCATTTGACCAGCCCACCGTGAGAGAGGCATCTGGCTACGTGAGGATGCTACATGATGAAGATTTTATTTTTTTCCTGCGGCTTTTTCACAAAATCATGCCCTATGTCGACATTCTGTACCAGAAGCTACAGAAGAAGGACATCGATGCTGTCTTTATCAAACGTGCCCTCGACAGCTTCACAAGCAGTGTGCAGGCCATAAAGGTAAGATTAAACAATATCATTCGATCTTTCTCAAAGCAGAGCTTTATTTGAAAATGTATGCATGAAAGGAGACTGCATTTGTGTTTGAAATTACATTATTCTCATTATATATGGCCAGTGGTGTAATCTAGCTTATTTTATATACTATGTGTACTGTACAGTGGTGTTCATAAGTGTATGAACACATTCTAAAGTTGACTAAAAAGAGGAATAAAAAAATAAAAAAATCATCTTTTGGAAATTGATCTTAATGACTTAATTAAAAAAGTTGGAAAATCCAACCTTTAAGGACACCAATTTTCTTTTCTTTTTTATTCCTCTTTTTAGTCAACTTTAGCATGGGATCATAAGCTTATGAGCACCACTGTATACTGTGCTGAACATCCAGGCTATGTGAGACACAAAGGCTAACTTAAACACTAAAGACTTTATGCATCCCTGCCCATTTTAAGTGGAACTGAAGTATTTGTACTATACATGGATACATTGCATATACCTGTGCATCACATAGACAACAATACTGTACAAAGCCAACAAACACATTGGTCTGTTTGCCTTCAGGGACTCCTCTCAACAGCAGCTGCAAGAAGCAACAGGAGCCAAAAGACCCAGAACAGCTTTGAGAGAAGAGGAGAAGCAGAGGCTGTCTGAAGAGGTCTGCAACACCATCCTGGATCACACTAAAGAAAGGTTCTCTTTCTCTGGCCACCTTGTGAGTGCTACCTTACTGCAAGCAGACATGTTTGAAAGGTACTGCCATTCATTTCCTGATGAGGCTATGAATGCCACTGTGAATGCATACCCCATGCTGAGCAAGGCAAAGCTCAAGACAGAACTATCTCTGATCTATGAGAATCCTGAATTCAAGGGTTGCTGTGGTGCACTGGCACTGTACCAGGTTCTCATGAGCTACAACCTCCAGGAGACGTTCTCTGAGACTGTGACTCTGAACATCCTCATAACTACTCCCATGACAACAGCTGAAGCTGAGAGATGTTTCTCAACTTTGACACGAGTTAAGACATTCCTGCGAAATTCAATGGGCCAGGAACGTCTGAATGCACTGGCCATGCTTTCCATGGAGAGGGAACTAGTCCTCAGCATGCCTGATTTCAATGAGAAAGTCATTGAACGCTTTGCTGTATTGAAACAGAGAAGAGAACAGTTTCAGTACAAGTAATGTAGCCTCTCTCTCTCTTTGTCCCTCCCTGTCTGTCTCTTTAACACACACACGCCCAAATCAGTTCACAGTTGATGTTGTTTAAAATACTTATTTTTCATTTTTTTGAGTGTTGAGGAATGTGAAAGAACACCCTTGATTATTTTTACTGTGATAACTTATTTTGATTTTGTAAGCCAACACTTTTGAGATCAGTCAATAAATGCTTCTGGTATTGACTTATATGCTGCCCCTGTCTTCATGTTGTTGCTGGACATATCTTTTAAAAAATGTGTGTAGGTCACCTAAATCATCAGAAAAATTGCCCCCCCTGAGAATTTTTTCAGGAGCCGCCACTGGTGAAATCACAGGGACAGGGTTGTATTCACATGACGAAACAGAGGAAAGTGTGCTGAAATTGGGGGATGTAGTATGTGAACTTGTCAATTAAGAAACACCTGCTTTCTTTTCCGTTGCGAAAAATTTCAATACGTTTTTCTATAACGGAAACGCGTTCGATGTGGCGGCACCGCCACACCAGATTGTAAAAATACTGGGGCAAATGCTGTCTCACCACACATTTTCCGGAAGCTCTGGTTTAAAATCTACCTGACAGATAGGACACAGTGTATTTTCTGACATTGTTAAGTCGAGTTTCCTTCATATTACGAAAGGTGTCCCATAGGGGTCGGTTTTAGGTCCTGTAATTTTTACTGCCTATATAAATAATATTGGTCTGTCTGCAAAAAAATGTAACATAAACCTGTATGCAGATGGCGCTGTTGTGTATGCTATTGCCCCCACTGTTGACCAGGCTTTTTCGGAGCTGCAAACTGCCTTTGTGTCACGCCCTGGCTCTGGGGACACTGTTATGTTGAGCCAGGGTGTGTAATTCTATGTTTGTATTTCTATGTTGGCCTGAGTGACTCCCAATCAGAGGCAACGAGTGTCAGCTGGTTGTCTCTGATTGGGAGCCATATTTAACTGTCTGTCTTTCACTTTGTGTTTGTGGTTTCTTGTTCCGTGTTGGTTGGTTTATGTAACCAGGGACGTCACGTTTCGTTTTTGTTGTTTTGATCGTGTGATCATCTTGATATAATAAAATGTTCGCATTCAACGCTGCGCCTTGGTCCTCCTCTCTCGTAGACGATCGTGACAGAAGAAACCACCAAGATGTGACCAAGCAGCGTGTCCAGGAGCCATCGCCAGGGAGATCCCTAACAGATCTCCTTCGCCTCCTCGACTGGGTCAAGCCGAGTGAGGAAGAGAAGGGCTTGATATTATGGCAGAAGGGCGAAAGGCTGGCGAGGGACATGGAGACCTGGTCCACGGCTAGGGGAGACGCCCAGAAATTTTTTAGGGGGGGGCTAACGCCGTGGACAACGGGCTGGCAGGAGACCGCGGCAGAGCGGCCGCCAGGTTACGGGGGCCACTGGTCGAAGAGGGGGTGGAAGATGTAGAGGCACGGCGAGAGGTACTGGCGTGTGTTGCCAGTCCGGTCCGGCCTGTTCCTGATCCCCACGTAGGGCCAGTGGTGTGTGTTCCCAGTACGGTCCGGCCTGTTCCTGCCACTCGCACCAAGTCTACGGTGCGCATCGCCAGCTCGGCCCGGCCCATTCCTGCTCCCCGCACCAAGTCAGTGGTGCGTTTCGTCAGCCCTGTCCGGCCCGTTCCTGCTCTCCGCACCAAGTCTGTGGTGCGCGTCGCCAGCCCAGTCCGGCCCATTCCTGCTCCCCGCACCAAGTCTGTGGTGCGCGTCGCCAGCCCAGTCCGGCCCATTCCTGCTCCCCGCACCAAGTCTGTGGTGCGTTTCGTCAGCCCGGCTCGGCCCGTTCCTGCTCCCCGCACCAAGTCTACGGTGCGTGTCGCCAGCTCGGCCCGGCCTGCTCCCCGCACCAAGTCAGTGGTGCGTTTCGTCAGCCCTGTCCGGCCCGCTCCTGCTCCCCACACCAAGCCAGTGGTGTGCGTCGTCGGTCCGGCACGGCCCGTGCCTGTTCCACTGGTGCCTGGTCCGGCACCGGTCAGATGCGTTACGCCGGAGCTAGAGCAATCCGCTCCATCAGTGTGCAGTCCAGCTCCGGCCAGTGGGACCAGACCGGACCAGGGGTACTTTGGGGGGTTGGAGAGGGAGTGGGGATCAGGCCTGGAGCCGGATCCGCCGCCTAGGCGGAGTGCCCACCCGGTCCCTCCCCTGTGGTATTTAGTTGGCGCGGTCGGAGTCCGCGCCTTTAGGGGGGGGTACTGTCACGCCCTGGCTCTGGGGACACTGTTATGTTGAGCCAGGGTGTGTAATTCTATGTTTGTATTTCTATGTTGGCCTGAGTGACTCCCAATCAGAGGCAACGAGTGTAAGCTGGTTGTCTCTGATAGGGAGCCATATTTAACTGTCTGTCTTTCACTTTGTGTTTGTGGTTTCTTGTTCCGTGTTGGTTGGTTTATGTAACCAGGGACGTCACGTTTCGTTTTTGTTGTTTTGATCGTGTGATCATCTTGATATAATAAAATGTTCGCATTCAACGCTGCGCCTTGGTCCTCCTCTCTCGTAGACGATCGTGACACTTTGTTGCTTTGCAGAAAGCCTTTCTTCAACTGAAGTTGTCACTTTATACATTTAAAACCAAGTACATTATGTTTTCCAATTCACCTAAAAATGTATCTATGAATGCAACTGCCACTACACTGAAACCCTTAGATACAATTTAGAACAGCACACTTCGCTGTATTACGGGTGACAGGTTCATTACAAATCATTGCATTCTATATCAGAAAGTAGGCTGGCCCTCTCCTAAGACTTGTAGATCAATACACTGCTCTCTTTTTGTTTATAAAGCTCTCTTGTGCAAACTGCCGTCATACTTTGACTATTTAAGTCAATGCGTTGATATTGAGTCTCTCTTTCTCTCCACAGTACTCTGTGCAGCCCAGCATTCAGCCCAGCATTCAGCCCAGCCTGAGACTCGGCAGGTGAAAGGCATTGTGGGAAAGTTGATCTATTTTCCAGAGACGGTGTTGAATTCTGGCAATTTACTTTATGGAGACCTTGGCAATATTGCACAGGTGTACCCTGTTAAACAAAGTAATACCAACCTTGTGAATAGATTTAAAAACCGCCTTCACTGGAACAATGTTACTGGATTCTTCACTTTGTCAGACCTACAAATAGAGGATTCTGGGGTTTATACTGTGGAGAATGCAGTTAAAGATGAAGAGAAGACGACACATACATTTCAGCTGACTGTGTACTGTAAGTGTGTGTGTGTGTTGTAAATTACTAAATCATTAAAGTGGCACTCAGCAGCAGAAACAATACTAAAGTGGTCGCTTTATTGGTTTGGTAAAAAGCTGAGGAATGGGGCTGGAGAAATGTAACCACTCTCAAATTCATAGAGCTATGGTTGCAAGGACTGATCAACCATTATATAAGAAGTATAGTTTTAACCATGTTTTGTGACTATATATTGTTTGTTTACAATTGCTTTGTTTACAAACACCGGAGTAAAACAAGCTTATGTGTTCTCTGACAGAGACTAAGCTCATGAGGCATTTATAAGTTATATTCTTCAAGAATCAATGGGTACATATAATTAATTTATAAGTCCAAAAATGGATGTAGCAACTGTTCTTTGCCACTTTAAAGAAGTTCCATTTCACCAATTCCCATTTATTCATTATTTTCTTCCAGATGTTCTGTCCAAGCCTCAGGTGACGGTCCATGACAACAGCTCCTGTAGCGTGGTGTGTTCTGTGGAGAATGGGAGAGATGTGACCCTGTCCTGGTATAGAGGAGGGAAGCTACTCAACCGGCGCAGCAGCCCTGACCTCAACATCACCCTCTCTCTACCTCTCAAGGTGGATGAACAGAACGGAGACTCTTACAGATGTGAGGCTGCCAACCCAGTCAGCAAGGAGACCACTGTTACACATTTCTGTATAGAGAGTGATCCCTCCAAGGTGGCAGGTACAATTTTTTTTTTACAGTAGCAATGTTAAATTGCTGATATCCAGACAATATCAAATTCAATATGAAACAATAAGTATGGTAGAGCTCATTTTATGAAACACAATGTTTTAATTAAAATATTGTTTTCTCTCTTTTTACTTTAGATGGTGATGAGAGGACTCGAGGTTTTCTTATTATTGCTGTAATCTGCGTTTTGTTTGCCTCAGGACTTGTTGGACTTGCAATTTATCTTAAGAAGAGGAGAAACGGACAATCACAAGCAGGTATTCATCTTTTAGTGAGGTGAGGTCATTCTCCTTGTCAAAGTCAAATAATAATCAAGGATAGTGTTTTGGAAAAGGAAGGAAATGTTTGCCTGAACAATGGATGCAGGTCAAATGAAGAGACATATCTTCCACACTTCCTCTGCTTGGTCAGACAGTTACATTATCTCTGACCACTTCTCTAAATGTTGAAAAAGCAGAAGGCAGACACACACACACACACACACACTCTGACAATCATTACTATATAGCTTCTCTGGCACCAAAAAGACAGCTAACACAGACACAGGTACCCATTGTAACATGAGTCCTTAGTGTTTGCAGAACCTGTCTTGGGTTGAGCATTTGTGCATATCTATCAGTTACTCCCACCCACACTGTATATTTCATTTCCTTTATTTGCCTTTATAGATTCACCTGAAAGAAAGCAAGATGACATTGACTACGCAGAGATAACTCTAATTAAACCAGCAGATAACCAGGTTAGTAATAATGCTACAGGCTGATAAACATTGGAGATGTAATACAGCAGTTTTGTTACAACTATAGCCTTTAGCGCTGTGCCAGTGGGTGAATGTGGTCTTGAGTTGCACAGACAACCTGAGTTTAATAACCGTCCTGATGTCATTGCAACCAGTTTTGCCCATATGAAATGGTCGTTTTGCACAATGAGAAGCCACCCTGCATATATTTTTTGCTTTCCTACACCCCCCCCCCCTCCTCTTTGCTTGTCCCTCTCAATCCTTCCCTCCCCACCTCCCTCCCTCTTCCTGTCTAGGAGGAGCGAACAGGTATACAAGGACTGAAGTCGGTTAGAGACAACCCTAACCTTATATTCGTTTATGATACACTCCAATTACATCGCATGGCTGCCAGCGAGGATGTTAACACTGCATGAAGGAGCAAAACAGGAAGGTTCTGAGAGGGTGACATGATCATTCACATCCAAGAGAAGGCTTTACATCCTAAAGAGGATGTTAAGACAAAATTATAGTAAATATTCATCTAGAAAACGTAATGGAGGCATAGTTGTTACTGGAGAAAATTCCCATTTAACCATTGCGATGTTGTTGTCATTTCAGACTTCCTTTGTTGGTCATTCTCAGTCTTTTGTTGAATTGGGGCCTTGATGAGATTCACTGATACAGACAAATTCAATAGCAATGCCTAGGGTTATTAGTAGGATTATCCCTCTTTTCAAGTGCACATTGTCCCAATTTATAGGTTAAAACAAATGGAACCTATCTTTTAATCAAATTCACTAGTGCGTTTGCTATGCTAATGCTGGGCCAAAGCTTCTTTTCAGTATTGTCTGTTCTGTTTAAATGTAGGTGCCTGCCCTGTATCTTTTTATAGCTGGTCATTGTTTAGCTTGCCATTGGATAGCAGCAGTGTACATGCAAAGCAGATGTTTGGTGAGATAAAGCCACCTACTCCTTAGAAGCAATGGCTGGTAGCCTATGTTGGAAAACAAAAAGTCCATAGGTTGATTTTTTTTCCTTTCACCATGTAGATTCTATTGAAACATTTCTGAGGGGTAGGTCTTTATTTGCCTTTTGACTCATAAAGTGATCTTTGGTGACATTATACTCATTTATTTTCGCAAAATGCGAATTATTATTATTAAGTGTAGTTCAGATCTTGCTTTGATGACAACTGTGTGCATGCATTTTGAATGTACGAAATTAACAGTTTAGTTTATTATGATGGACCATTTATTGCTTGTCCTTATCTACACAGTATGTAGCTCATCATCTCTTAATACAATCACTCCCTCCTGCACGCTCCTGCAGACACTCCTTCTATTACAGCATTTTGTGCTCCAACTACATTAGCCCACATATATAACTGTGAAAAAATACAAAATCTACTGACACCATAGTGAGTTGTTGCACTGGAGGCTATTTCATTTTTATACATTTGTATTTCAGAGTAGTTACTGAGACTGAATATTAAGATAATATAATTCACATTTCACTATTCTAAAATAAGCTTATTACTTATTCAAACTGATAAAGTGTACTGAGCTTTTTTTGTTGTACTGAGCTTCAATATATTAAGTCAGACTTACCCATACATTCAATACATTTCCTAATGTTAAATGGTCGTCAATCCCCCATACATGCTTGAAAAATATACTTACCTTATCACAACCCAAAATGATTTAAGTTTACTCCATTGTTTATATTTTTGTTGTCATTTGAGTTTTTGTAAACAAAGAGTGTATTACTACAATAACTTTTGAAAACTGTTAGTTTTTGCATCCATAGCTGCAGTCAAGAGTTTGAGATTGGCACAATTTCTCCAGATTCTGGTTTTAAAGTTTGACCTAGATAGTTTGTGTTTATGTATTGATATGTAGGCTACGTGTGCCTTTTTTTATTGATGTTGTTCTGTCCTTGAGCTGTTCTTGTCTATTAATGTGTTCTGTATTTTGTCATGTTTTGTGTGGACCCCAGGAACAGTAGCTGCTGATTTTGCAAAAGCTAATTGGGATCCTAATAAAATACCAAATGCAGCCTACTTCTAGGGTCAAACTAGGAGGGACCACTGTAATTGTTTGGTGGTTTTCAAGTGTGTTTCTCTATTTGAGTTTAGGTGTATTTGGGACGTTTTGTCCAGTTACTTTTAATGCCAGGCAGCTGTACATTTCTAATTTGAAAAGAATGATGACTAATCCTATTAAACTTCAAGCAAACAATGTTTTTCTTCTAATGTATTTTCTCCATCTAGTGGTTGAATGGTTTTATATTTCAGCATACTGTGTACTGTACATACTACACTATTTTGTACTCAAATCAAATCAAATTCTATTGGCCACATGCGCCGAATACAAAAGGTGCAGACATTACAGTGAAATGCTTACTTACAGCCCTTAAACAACAGTGCATTTATTTTTAACAAAAAGGTAAAAATTAAACAACAACAAAAAAAGTGTTGAGAAAAAAAGAGCAGAAGTAAAATAAAATAACAGTAGGGAGGCTATATATACAGGGGGGTACCGGTGCAGAGTCAATGTGCGGGGGCACCGGCTAGTTGAGGTAGTTGAAGTAAAATGTACATGTGGGCAGAATTAAAGTGACTATGCATAAATAATTAACAGAGTAGCAGCAGCGTAGTCTTTTGGACCTAGACTTGGCACTCCGGTACCGCTTGCCGTGCGGTAGCAGAGAGAACAGTCTATGACTAGGGTGGCTGGAGTCTTTGACAATTTTGAGGGCCTTCCTCTGACACCGCAAGGTATAGAGGTCCTGGATGGCAGGAAGCTTGGCCCCAGTGATGTACTGGGCCGTACGCACTACCCTCTGTAGTGCCTTGCGGTCGGAGGCCAAGCAGTTGCCATACCAGGCGGTGATGCTACCAGTCAGGATGCTCTCGATGGTGCAGCTGAGGACCCATGCCAAATCTTTTCAGTCTCCTGAGGGGGAATAGGCTTTGTCGTGCCCTCTTCACGACTGTCTTGGTGTGTTTGGACCATGATAGTTTGTTGGTGATGTGGACACCAAGGAACTTGAAGCTCTCAACCTGTTCCACTACAGCCCCGTCGATGAGAATGGGGGCGTGCTCAGTCCTATTTTTTTTCCTGTAGTCCACAATCATCTCCTTTGTCTTGGTCACGTTGAGGGAGAGGTTGTTATCCTGGCACCACACAGCCAGGTCTCTGACCTCCTCCCTATAGGCTGTCTCATCGTTGTCGGTGATCAGGCCTACCACTGCTGTGTCGTCGGCAAACTTAATGATGGTGTTGGAGTCGTGCCTGGCCATGCAGTCATGGGTGAACAGGGAGTACAGGAGGGGACTGAGCACGCACCCCTGAGGGGCCCCCGTGTTGAGGATCAGTGTGGCAGATGTGTTGTTACCTACCCTTACCACCTGGGGGCGGCCCGTCAGGAAGTCCAGGATCCAGTTGCAGAGGGAGGTGTTTAGTCCCATGATCCTTAGCTTAGTGATGATCTTTGAGGGCACTATGGTGTTGAATGAGTACACGTCCTGGCAATCCGTCTGGCCCTGCGGCCTTGTGAATGTTGACCTGCTTAAAAGTCTTACTCACATCGGCTACGGAGAGCGTGATCACATAGTCATCCGGAACAGCTGGTGCTCTCATGCATGCTTCAGTGTTGCTTGCCTCGAAGCGAGCATAGAAGTGGTTTAGCTCGTCTGGAAGTCTTGTGTCACTGGGCAGCTCGCGGCTGTGCTTCCCTTTGTAGTCTGTAATAGTTTTCAAGCCCTGCCACATCCGACGAGCGTCAGAGCCAGTGTAGTACGATTCAATCTTAGTCCTGTATTGACTCTTTGCCTGTTTGATGGTTCGTCGGAGGGCATAGCGGGATTTCTTATAAGCGTCCGGGTTAGAGTCCCGCTCCTTGAAAGCGGCAGCTCTACCCTTTAGCTCAGTGTGGATGTTTCCTGTAATCCATGGCTTCTGGTTGGGGTATGTACGTACGGTCACTGTGGGGACGACATCATCGATGCACTTATTGATGAAGCCAGTGACTGATGTGGTGTACTCCTCAATGCTATCTGAAGAATCCCGGAACATATTCAGGTCTGTGCTAGCAAAACAGTCCTGTAGCTTAGCATCTGCGTCATCTGACCACTTTTTTATTAACCGAGTCACTGGTGCTTCCTGGTTTAGTTTTTGCTTATAAGCAGGAATCAGGAGGATAGAGTTATGGTCAGATTTGCCAAATGGAGGGCGAGGGAGAGCTTTGTATGCGTCTCTGTGTGTGGAGTAAAGGTGGTCTAGAGTTTTTTTTTCCTCTGGTTGCACATTTAACATGCTGGTAGAAATTAGGTCGAACGGATTTAAGTTTCCCTGCATTAAAGTCCCCGGCCACTAGGAGCGCTGCATCTGGATGAGCGTTTTACTGTTGATTTATGGCCTTATACTGCTCATTCAGTGCAATCTTAATGCCCGCATTGGTTTGTGGTGGTAAATAGACAGCTATGACAAATATAGATGAAAATTCACTTGGTAAATAGTGTGGTCTACAGCTTATCATAAGATACTCTACCTCAGGTGAGCAAAACCTTGAGACTTCCTTAGTATTTGATTTTGTGCACCAGCTGTTGTTTACAAATATACACAGACCGCCACCCCTTGTCTTACCGGAGTCAGCCGTTCTATCCTGCCGATGTAGCGTATAGCCCGCTAGCTGTATGTTATCCATGTCGTCGTTCAGCCACGACTCGGTGAAACATAAGATATTACAGTTTTTAATGTCCCATTGGTAGGATAACTGTAAACTTAGGTCATCCAATTTGTTCTCCAATGATTGAAGATTGGCTAATAGGATTGATGGGAGGGGCAGTTTACTCGCTCGCCGTCGGATCCTTACAAGGCACCCCGACCTACGTCCACGATATCTCCGTCTCTTCCTCATGCGGGGATTTGGGCCTTGTCGGGTGTCTGTAGGATATCCTTCGCGGCCGCCTCGTTGAAGAAAAAATCTTTGTCCAATACGAGGTGAGTAATCGCTGTCCTGATATCCAGAAGCTCTTTTTGGTTATAAGAGACGATGTCAGAAACATTATGTACAAAATAAATTACAAATAACGCGGAAAAACACACATAATAGTACAATTGGTTAGAGGGCTGTAAAACGGCAGCCATCTTCTCCGGCGCCGTAAAGAGCCAGTGTGCTGAGCCAGTGTGTACTCTGAGCCAGTGTGCTGTATATTGTAAGTGTAACTTAAATCATGTGTCAGCTAAATGTTCTCAAACCTTTCTATGCTTTTACGTTTGGACTGTGGTCATGCATTATGGTGGCAATTTAAATTATGCCATGCCAATGTTATTTTTAATCACATTTGTTCAGAAAACATGAGTGAATCATTTATCATTCTGTGTATTTATGTTATGTATTTTTCCACAAAGTTCAGATTGCTCAATGGCGTGACTCCAGTGTTTTGTTACAGGAAATTAGTAACATACCTGTATAAAACACTGATTATCCATACACTTTCAACCCTTTCCATTTTCACTTTGATTCCTGATCTATAGCATTATGGTCAGTGTGAAGAACTCCTTTTGGCTGCCCCTAAAACAAAGATGTTTCTGCAGCCCACACTGACAACCTCTCCTTCTGGTGCAGAGGTGTCTGGGTGTTGAACTTTTTCACCAGAAACCAGCCCATATATATAATTAAGTGTATAAAATATATGTAGTGGACAAAGTGAAAACCAAATTAAGTAGAGCCTTTACGTTGTGAATAATTTATTAATATCATCAAGGAACTCAGGGAACAGACAAGACAACAAGATTTAGATTGGGAGACATTCTATCGGCCTTATATAGGAGAGTTGGCAGAACTACTAAAATTTACAAATGTTATCTTAATATTGATTAATTGAATGAAGATTCTGTGCAAATAATTGTCTTACATGCATGTAAAAAAAAACTATGATGTTATATTCAAAACAAACTCAAATGTACATCTCCTCTTCTCTCCATCTGTATTCTCCACAGTATAACCCCAGAATCTTCAATCTGAAAGTCTGACACAGTTAAGAATCCTGTAACATTGTCCCAGTGTAGGCGGTTTTTCTTTCCCACAATCTCTTTCACCTGCTGAGTTTCAGACTGGGCTGAATGCTGGGCTTCACAGAGTAGATATCTCTTCACAGAGTAGATAACTTGTATCTCAGTATCAACACACTTGTCACAAAGTAGAGTATGTATTATATACGTAAACTACAACATTTAGAGTCTGTTTTTTCCTGTTAAGACCCCCCCAAAATAATTTGTTTTGATCATCCTACATCACTCGTCTTGAAACTAACTGCAGCATTTTCAACCATCTCACTTATCTGCTCATTATTTTTTTAATAAAGCACATTACCTGTTCCTCAACCACTCATCTCTCACTCTACCATCTGGCCTCTACATGACAGATAGACACTGACCACATAATCACAGGAAACCACAAACATGTTCTGTTTA